TATAAAATTGAGTTGAAAGCACCCTATCTGATATCACTAGACTATAAGGCCTTGTAAAATTATTATCCCTACTTATCCATGGAAAGAAAAGACATACTAATCTATACGTATGGGAAAGCATTAGTAAACGTCAGTGTGAACCTTTAGATTTAATATTTTTTTGGTAAAATACATGATCTGGTTCTGTAATAATAATCGGATGAGAAGATTGTAAGCAAATGTGAATAAAAAAACTTAACTTTTCCTTATATGATCCTCCGAGAGATTAAATTTCCTGTAGAAAGTAGCTCATTGATTCGAGCATTAAAAGCATGGAAATTGGCAACCGTTAGGGAGCTAATGATTATTTTAATTTGACAAGTTGATTGCTAATCTAATAATTACCTAGCTCCAGCTTGCACTGTCCTAGCTATATTTTCGATTCCCAGTGTATTTTGGTCAATAACTAAAGAATAATGTGTTTCGAAAGGAAAACATGAGGGATAAAGTTGCATGGATTTGTGTTCATATAGAATCTTTTAGAGGAGGTAATATTAAAACTTCAAGGTGGTCAATAATTAACTTATTTCTTGTTTTTGTTTTAAAAATTAATTTAAATGGTCTGCTTCAACTAAACATACATAAATCTTTAATTATGAATATACCCACTTCATGCTATGAGAATAGCACTATCTTAGTGAGTACATGAATCAATACATTATAGTCAATCTTTTGGACCAATGTAAATAGAGTAGATAGTAGGAAAGCATTAGTAGAGAAAGTTAGTGTAAAAACTTTAGATTTAAAAGTTGATTGTAAAATACATGATATGATTCTCTAAGTAAATCTAGTCAACTGTAAACAAAACAATTCACTTTTCATTAATTAGATTAATATCTAAAAGCATATAGCTAATGATTCTTTTAATTGAACAAATTGATTGTTAATCTAGCAAATACGAAGGTCCAAGTTTGGACCACACAAGCTCTAATTTCCATATATAATGATATTATGGTAAATAACAAAAGAATAATTTGTTTCGGAAAGAGAAAAACAACATCTATTGGGCATCGGCCAATAGAGAACAAGGTGCAAGAGAGTATTCAATTTAAATAGAACCTAAGACTTATAAATAAATAATAATATATACAGAGAGAGAGATGAGAAAAGCTTATCCATTGAATATAATTAATACCCAACTTGAACATTATTATATTTGTTAAAGCTGTAATATAATCAAGTCTAATAGATCATATAATATTTACTTAGGGGAAAGATCAGAGGAGAGTAGGATATATACTCGATCTAATGAAAAGATAAAGCATTTACTTAATGCTTTATATAACCTAAAAGCAAATGAAGAAGACTAATTTATTGAGCAACTTTTTAGCACATATGAACTTTTGAATTTAATCGATATTCTTGCATGAATTTTACTTCTGAAAATAAACAAAGATGGATCTTTTAAATGAAATCAAATATCAAAACGCTATTAACATCATAACAATAATGATAATCAAGAAACTCCGTTTTTCCGTTCCATAAAACGAGCAAGGTACAACAATTAACATCAAGATGAAGAACTAACAGTAAACATGGAATCAAAAGAGAAAAAAGAAATCCCTAGGTTGAAGAAAAAAATCAGAAAGATGGGGAGATTAATTATTGTACAAGATGGAGAATCATGATTGATGATCCAAGGAATTTATCTGACCTTTTTCCTTGAAGAATAAGCTTCGACATGGTCAAACGTAGTCAGAAGGGTGGCCGGCTACCCATGTTGCCAGACCAAACACCACCGTCCACCGGTAGCTGAACGTTAGGCATGTTAAGTGGTAAGTTAAAAAACGGCAAACCCATTGATGAGGGGTCTGGAAATGGATGATTCACGCCTCCATTCCCGTCTCCGCCGCCTCCATTCCCTCCTCCACTACTAGCAGCCGCTTCCTCTTCATCCAGTGGCAACCTTTCATACGCCACGTTTGTGAAAGATGCTGCTATCACAATCACCGGCCCAGAAGCAATCAGAGCTCCGACGACATTCCCACCAACAACCTGTCCTTGTCCACCCGCCAAGTATATAGTTAGGCTGGTGGCCCCCGGTGGTGCTGGAGGTGGCAAGAAGGAACCAGACAGCGAGAGTATCTCAAACCTGCCGTGGAGGGTGAGTACAGATCCGGCCGCTGCAGGTTGCCGAAGACTGACGTTGTTGACTGTGCCGCTGCCGCTTACTATACAAATACCACGTTGACGCTTCCTGGCATAATTCGCGATGGATTCAAAGACATCGCATCCACTGTTTATCTCAAGGATGTGTGCCCGGAGGGTATTTGCGCTCTCCCTAGTGATGATCACGGGTGGTTTGGGCTTGTTTTTTGAACCAGGGGGGCGACCCCGTGGCCGGCGCCCTACAATATCCCCACTACCGCTGCCGGAGCCAGGAGTGTGTTGGTTGTTGTCATCTTCGGAATCAGGAGGGATTTGGAGGTGGAGGTCAGGGCGATGTTGCAGGTTTTGGAGGGAGAAAGGGGAAGTGGAGCTCAAGTCTAAATTGTTTGACATATTATAGATATAGATCAGGAGGAGGAAACTAAAGGGAGAGAAACAAGAAGAAAGAGATGAAGAAAAATAAAGTATGATGGTAATGGAGGAAATTTATGTTTAAAAAACAGAAAGATGGGGTATTTTATGAGAGAGAGAGAGAGAGAGAGAGAGAGAGAGAGAGAAGAGAGAGCGAGAGAGAGAGAGAGAGAGAGAGAGAGAGAGAGAGAGAGAGAGAGAGAGAGAGCAAATAGAAAACTAAGGGGTAAGCAAATGAGTGGAGAAAAACAAAGAAAAAAGTTTGAATGGTACTTTTGGTTTGAACAGTATGGAATAGTTATACTGACCTATCTTTTGTTTTTAGGGTTTAAACTATTTCCTATTAAAATATTAAACTAATCCTTCAATTTGGTATTATTTGACTAATAATCATTTGATTTTAATTCTTTTTAACGGGGAAGGATATTTATCAGACAGTGGAAACTACCAAGTTACTAGAAACCACCCAACACAGCAAGTAATTGTAAATGTTTTGAAAATACTTATTTAACGATGGTGATTCGAATATTTTTGTTTGACAAATCTTTAAAAATTGTCCCTATGGTTTTTAAAATTAAAAGTTTGATCTCTGCAAATTTTTAATATCAATGATGAGTTGTTTGGTTTGAAAAGATATAATAGATCGTCTATATGCCTAACAACCGTGTATTTTTCTATTAAATCTGAACATGTATGATGCATGTAAGGAAAAAAATCAAATTTTACATTCACAAGAACCATTTATGAAGTTATAAATAAATAAATTTTACCCCAATCTCACCCTCCCATAAAAACCAACATATTTCTCTTCCGCTCTTACTAGTACAAAAACGATCTATGGCAATCGTTTTAAAAAAGAAAAAAGGGTGTCATTGTTTTTTATATTTGGTTTACATGTTAACTAAAAGTCATTATAGAATGTCACCAACACTAGTAAAAAGTGTCATCATTACAAACTATTTTCACATATTTTATCATTGTTTTACATAAAAAAAAAATGTGACAAATACTAGCCAATAGTCACGGTAGATTATTGAGACTGTAAGTATTTTATTACGACATTTTAAAAAATATATATAAGTATAAGATTCCATAGCTACGGAAAAAAATATGTACCTACGAAATTAAGACTGAAAGTTTATGTAACAAAAGTCATGTACCTAAACTGCTTTAGCTACGGATACCGTAGCAAATTTAATATGGAACCATTCCGTGGTGATTATGTAACAAAGTAACTAGGAAAAATTTCCATAACAGTTTTGTGGTAAATTAACTACGAAAATTCCATAGCAATTTTGTAGCTAATTATCCACAAAAAGTTTCGTAACAGTTTAATAATAGATCGACTACTGAAATAAAAACAAATAATTGAACATTAAAACAAAATCAACACCAAAATATAACAATTCATTATATATATTACAAGAATCCTTTTTTCTTAATAATATTACACATCAGTATATTCTATTTATCAAATGTTACATAGATTTACAATCCTACCAGAAAACGAACCACACATAATTACTATCCTAAAAAAACAATGTTTTTCATCTGATTACTTCAAATTTATACAGCATTCTAAAACAAATAAAAAAACTTGATGTAGATATGAATCGATAATCCTTAAATGAGCCAAACCCTTAAGGTGCGTTTGGTTGTGGAAAATTTTCCAGTTTTTTATGAAAATTTTCCAAAAAAAACGAAAATTTTGAAAACGCGTTTGGTTCGTTCAGTTTTCCAAAGTTTTCTAAGAAAATGAAAATTTTTAGTTTTCCAAATTGTATGTAAATTAGAAAAGTGATTTTTACAGTTTTCCAAAGTTTTCCAAATTTCTAAGATGGAAAATGAAAACTCCACCCGTTCCAACCAAACACGTTTTCATTGAAAGTTGAAAACGAAAACTCAACCCTATTTTTTGAAAACATTTTCATAGAAAATGAAAATAGTTTTCCACAACCAAACGCACCCTTAGTTTTTCTCCTGCAAAAAAAAATCATATCAGTTAAACACATAACCACAATTAAAATCACACAAAACCAAGATCTATGGTTTTTAGCTTTCATATATCTACAGTTTTTAAAAAGTTTTGTTGGTAGAGATAGATGGTTATATATATATATATATATATATATATATATATATATATATATATATATATATATATATATATATATATATATATATATATATAGAGAGAGAGAGAGAGAGAGAGAGCAGTAGCGACTATTAGAAAAAAACTAAGTTGGTGGTGGTAGCTGTAAACAACGAGTGGGAAGGCGATGGTGAAGTCGACTTTAGATATAGGTTTTAGTGGAGAAAAGGCGACGGTGACGAAGACTTTGGATCTATGGTTGGGAAGCCTGTGGTGGGTACTTATGGATTTGCAAAAGGAGGCATAGGGAGGCCAAAACGACAAAGATGAAAGGTTTACAGATCAAGCAACAGCGACAATGCGATGGCAACGACCAATAGAAGTTGTGGTTTTGGCGTGCGGTGCAGTAGATGTTTTGGAGGGTGTTTCCTATAAGATGATGGTGATCGGAAGGGTCGTTGGTAGTGGTGGGTGCGGCGTCGGTGATATTGAACAAACTGAGGGAGATTTTGGCAAAGGGTGAGCGACGTCCACAATATTAATTGTTAATACCTAGAGGTCTTTCTAAGTATATGGATACTCAGTTTGATGAAAAAGGCTCACGTGAATTTGAAACATATTAATAACCCCAAATTTAATAACAAGTTTTTTGTTTTTATTCATTCCTTAATTCGAGGTTCTGCAGTATATCTATTGAATTTGATATTGTAAAAAAGTTATTCACAATACAATCCTACTATATCCTCTCTTTAAACAGAGTTTTGATATAGTGTTACTAACATTTCTATAAACCTAATAAAAATAATACTCCCTCCGTCCCAATATTATTGTCCACTGACAAAAAAACACACATATTAAGAAAAGCATTAATTACCACTAACTTTATTTAATAAAAATGACAGTTTTGTCCTTACTTTGCATTTAATGTTCCATTAAATGCTTAGTTGGTTAAGTAATAATGAGGGGGTATTTTGGTAAAAATGTTATTTATTTTTAGAAGTGAACTATTATTTTGGGACAAACCAAAAAAGGAAAGATTGACTATAATTTTGGGACGGAGGGAGTACAGTTTATTGCATGTATTCCCCCCAAAAATGATAAAAGATTTAAAATGGGGTCGTGACGCTCACTTGGCTGAAGCGTATACGAGAAACTGAAGAAATTACGATTTTCCAGAAATTGGTAGTTTCACTCCGATGAATAGTAACTTTGACCGGCGTGAATAGTTCCTGACCGGAATCTACTCCAAAACTGGCTGGAAAAGTGTCTGGCGATGGTGGACGGCGGCGGCGATAGGCGTCTGACGGCGGCTATCGGCGTCGTTAGGATCATTGGTGGCTGTTGTATGGTGGGGGTGGTCGGATAGGGCTTTTCCAGTGGTTAGTCGATGTAAAAAGGGACGACAGCTGGCTGTCGGACTCGGTCTCAGTTTTCCGGCGCGACGACGCTACGCGGTTGACGGTGGCTCACGGTTATCGGTAGCCGAGGAAGGGAGGGAAAGATCGGTAGAGTGAGGGAGAGAGATAGGAGAGAAATAAGGTGAAAATTTTATGAAGGGGTAGCCCTCTATTTATACCAAATCCAATCTCGATCCAACGGTTCAGATTAAAAGCTAGGTTTTTTTATCTTATCTAGCCTAGGCGACAAACTTTCGAGAATTTCGAGTGGCGATGTTTTTGTTAATCAAATCAAATATTATATGATTTTCTAAGAAAAAACATATTTATTTCTAGTCAATAATAAATAGCGTAGCTATCCTAACGAAGTGTTTCAAAGTGATTTTCAGATTGGTTCCATTTACACTTACAAACTTTCCCTTCGTAAAAGAGTCTATAAGACATGTGACGGAAAACTTAACTCTTGAAATAAATACTACATCAAATCCTGATTCGTAATATATAATTAACTTTTAAATATGAAACCCGGAAATAACCCTACATATCATCCGAAGTTTACATGGTGAAAAAGGCGAACCATAACTCGTTCAACCTTATCTACAATAGCTCGGGGTATTTTTGCGCAGAAAAATTTAGGAACATGATAAATTACTAAACTGAATGAGACTCATTGGAAAATTGACTGGGAATAAAAATTCATTTCCTAAGACGTCTCATAATTCATTTGATGTTTGGGTTTTGATATCTGTCAGGTGGTGAGCTGTTACCCGGTTGTTTACATTCTTAAAATGGTCGTATCTTTTCCATTCGAACACTTTTTATCGAGAGGGATAGTAAGTGTGTCATCGGACAAACACTTTTTGAGATTTGACACCTGAAAGGTATCATGTGCATTATTAAATTCCTGAGGCAGCCTAAGTCGGTAAGCAACATGACCAATTTGAGCTTCAATTTTGAATGGTCCTATGTATCGTGGTTTTAGCTTGCCTCTCTTTCCAAATCGTGTTACTCCTTTCCAAGGAGAGACTTTTAACATAACATGATCCCCAACATAGAATTCTAGTGGTGTGCGTCTACGTTCGACATAACTTTTCTGATGGTGACATGCGGCCTTTATTCTGTCCCGAATTTGGATGATATTTTCTGTTGTCTCATGTATGATCGCGAGGTGAATCTACTGTCTCTATCAGAGATAATATATATGGGTACACCATGCAATTTGAAAATCTCCTTAAGATAATTTTTTTTCAACTTCTCCATTTTGTCCGTCTCTTTGATCGGAAAGTCTCATGCAGACTTGGTCAATCTGTCGACCACTATGCAAATGGTGTCATAATTACCGCTTGAAATTTTAGGTATTTTCGTTATGAAATCAATAGCTATATGTTTCCACTTCCACTCGGGTATTTCTAACTATTGTAGCAATCCCGAGGGTTTATGGTATTCGGTATTGACTTTAGCACAAGTCAAACATTACCTTAGAAAGGTGGCAA